AGCTAGGAATCTCATGGAATCCATTTTTTCCCCCAACAGATAATTTATTCCGAAAAGCAGAATCTGTATAAAAAAGACTTTGAGAAGTGGTTTTCTACCTTTTACCTTAGTGATAGTGCTCTAAACACCCTCAATTATATCTGGATTTTGGGGGTGGTTCACTATGGGCTGGGTTTTCGGTTTTGTTTTTTTAACTCCATTCCCTTTGGGGGCGCCTGGGTGACTCAGTTGGTTAAGTGTCCAACTTCGGCTCAGGTAGGTCACAGTCTCACAGTTTGTGAGTTCAAGCCCCACATCGGGCTGTCTGCTGTCAGCACAGAGCCTACTTCAGATCCTCTGTCTCCCTCTCTTTCTGCCCCTCTCCCGGGCTCACTTGCTTGTTCTTTCTCTCAAAAATAAACATTAAAAATATTAAATCCATTCCCTTTGTTTAAATACAGAAACTTTACTCTTGCCCCTGTGATTGTTATGTACCCATCCTGAGGGGGTTATGCTACAGATAAGAACTGAATAAAGGAGGGGCGCCTGGGTGGTTCAGTCGGCTAAGCATCCGACTTCGGCTCAGGTCATGATCTCACGGTTCATGGGTTCGAGCCCCTCACTGGGCTCTGTGCTGACAGCTCGGAGCCTGAAGCCTACTTCAGATTCTGTGTTTCCCTCTCTCTCTACCCTTCCCCTGCTTGTACTCTGTCTCTCTGTGTCTCAAAAATAAATAAACATTAAAAAAAACACTTAAAAAAAAAAAGAACTGAATAAAGGATTAGAAGAACGTAGGAATGATCAGGAAAAACCAGGGTGTGTTTGGTGGTAAAGTTTTAACTTTTTGAGGTTAATCCCAATGAAGACGCCTTCCCGCTATGAGTCTCAGGGTTCTACCAAAAGAAGTAAGGTAAGGACCCAGAGGGACACAAAGATGGTCGGGAATGACAGAGGCTGAGAGGTGGCTGGAGAGTTGTTGCGCACTTCTGGCACTTGGTTAATTAATAATGTAAGTGAAGGCGGGCGGGGCCCAAGGGGATGGCCTCATGGGGAAGGAGGCGTGAGTCACAGATGGCCCAGTTGGCAACAGGATGGTTCACTTTTGGAAAAGAAATGTGTGACACAGCCTTTCTCAGAACAGAGTGGAGCACAGTTCAGCCAACCCATAGAATACCGAAGCTCTCTAAAGTAGGAGGGACCTTGCCACCGCTAGGGGGCAGCACCCTCCTGGGATGAGAGCCCCGAAGAGGCCTGCTCTGTTAACCAAGGGGATCGGGAGGAATTCAGAGGGAGGTGGGGAGGTGGAACAGAGACCATACAATGAAAAATTGTTTTTGAAAAAAGATGGGGGCTACCTTGGGCAGGTGCTGATGTATGGACAGCCCTACCGCGTCACCTTAGAGCTTGAGCTGCCAGAGTCCCCTGTGAATCAAGACTTGGGCATGTTCTTAGTCACCATTTCATGCTACACCAGAGGCGGCCGAATCATCTCCACTTCTTCACGCTCCGTAAGTGCTTTGGCCTGTCTGGGAGGGTGTGGAGATGATAACAGATGTCAGAATCTCTGGGGAGGGCTTCAGGAGAAAAACATCTCAGCTCTGAGGTCACAGCCACATCAAGATCGGGAAGAGGAGTCCCTTTACCAAGCCAGACAGACACCCCAGGTATTTGATGAGCATGTCCAACTTTGGGGTGAAGTCTGAAGAGGTGAGCTAAATGACCTTAGAGCCCAACAGATGTCCTCTGGCATTCTCTCTCAGAAACCTACTGGCTGAGAGACTACTACTTTAACCCCTTGGTAACAAAGCATTACTAACTGGGTATGAAAGTAATGGTCCCACAGCGAGACCAGTTTGGATCCGGTGAAGAAATGTACCATGGTTGTTAGCACATGGTGGGTGTTCAGTAAATATTAGACTCTGTTCTTTTTTTTTTTAATGTTTATTTAGTTTTGAGACAGAGCATGCAAGCGAGCAAGCGGGGGAGGGGCAGAGAGAGAGGGAGACACAATCCAAAGCAGGCTCCAGGCTCTAAACTGTCAGCACAAAGCCCAATGCAGGGCTCAAGCTCACGAACCGCAAGATCACGACCTGAGCTGAACTTGGCTGCTTAACCGACTGAGCCTCCCAGGCACCCCGAGACTCCGTTCTTACATGAATTGTCAACAGATCCACATGATGAAGCCTATCTCCGAATGTCTACATGGGGAGAAATGCTTCAGCTAGGACGCTGGAACTTAGGGTCTATTCTGGACCGTAGAACTGCTTGCGGGAAAGATCAGAGACAGCGTTGGGTTTAACCTATGTAATTTTTAGAAGAGGGGCCTTTGTTGCATTGGAATAGAGACATGGATTGAGTAGGGGACGGATATTACTCAGGCAGTTGGAATGGCTGGGCCACAGCTGGTTTTGGGGGGGAGGGCGTGGTAGGAAGTGAAAATGAGGGAGCAGGGGCCCTGAGGAAGGAGCAGGCGTCAAAGGCTGCTCAGGGGCGGTTGAGGGGTTGGTAGGGCTGTGACAGTCTGGGGGTACCCGGCCCCAACCTCTCCCCTCCTCCCCTGGCTTCGGCAGGTGATGTTGCATTACCGCTCCAACCTGCTCCAGATGCTGGACACGCTGGTCTTCTCCAGCCTCCTGCTGTTTGGCTTCGCTGAGCAGAAGCAGCTCCTGGAGGTGGAGCTCTACCCGGAATACAGAGAGAATTCGGTAAGGCGGGGGGGGGGGGGGGGGGGGGGGGG